CAGAGCTTTAAAAGTACTCCAGATAGTCTAAAACAGCATCTAACAGCATTAGAGAGAAAACGGTCGTTGGGTGCCCCTGATGTTTGTTTGCGATGTCTCATCTCTGTGAGAGAGGAAGCGGAAACACAGGTAATTTTGCAAACAGTCCGCTTGACGTTAAGGTTTCTTAAAGGGTTTTGATTGTTAACCTTTTCAAAAAAATATGAATTCCTATCTGCCCACCAGCAATCTGTGGTTATATCGCGGAAAAGACTCAAAAGCTAAAAGGAAACTACGTCAATATTAATGAACATTTACCCTCTTTGGGGTACAAACTCAAGTTTCATGAACATTCCTTCACGGACAAGGACCATGCTGAACCTTCAAAGAGCGTGTGTAAACTTGGCCTGTGACCAGGACTGTGAGCAAAAACAGCTAAAACAGTGGTCAACATTTCTTTTAAAACGTTTTTAAAGATTAGAGAAATATAGAGTACTTGCTTTGTTAGGCATTGGTATTTTATTCAGCCTGGATAAAGGAACTTAAAATCCAAGTCACCACATGAATTCTTGAAAGAAATGATCCTCCACAGGACAAACATGGGTTCTGGGTATGGTTCCTGCTTCGAAGATTTCAAAATTTCAAAATCTCTGCTCGGAGGTGAATAGAACTTTGCTAACCTTTTCCGAGATGACGAGTCTGGGAATGCGTGAAAAGTACCATTCACAGTTGTGGTATATACTAATAGAAGAATTTTTCTCTTGTAAATCTTTGATAGGGTGTAGAAGATTACAAGACTTGCGTGTAAAGAGCGCGCCTGTAAAAGCACACCGCTTTACTCAGGCCTTCTAGAGGTGAGTAAAAGAAAAAAGTACCGGCGTATTCTGTTCTCTTGTACCCTGTTCTCTGGTAGTTGTTAAACCAGTTAGTACATTTGAATTTGGACTTGTTCGTCTTCCGTTATCCAACGTTTATATTCGATTGTTCTTTGGGAAAATTGAACTTTTGTCTTTTACTATTGTATGCTTCTTTACCTTTACTACGTTGTAATTTAGGCCTAATATAAGTCAATGCTATCGTATCCTGCCCGTACGATCAAGCAAGCCAGCAATCAAGTTTATTTCCATTTCGGTTAATACATTTTACATGAAATTTGGACAAATATGAAAGAATGGTGGAGGACTAAAGAAACCTTCATAGCCTTTTAGAAGGTAGTCCCCCTATGAATGACCTTAATTGCAAAATAGCTAATACATTTGGTATATCAGGGATATACCAAATACCAGGCAATATACCAGGCATATATTAGACAAGTAAACACACCAGGTGTATTTTTTATTAATACTTCTTGCTTACAATGCATATTTTACAACGATTAATTCATGACGTACTTACAGCACAGTGCTTACAATGCTTTGCTTACTTACAACACATTACTTATTTACGTATTTACGATGCAACAATTAAGACTTCAAATTACCTAGCTTTCGATAACTTCCATTTCTTATTTCCAACAGTTAATGGTGTGAAATAGTAACTAGCCTATAGTTATCGCTTATCTCAGTTAAAATTTCAGTCCATTTCCAAGAGACTATAATCTACATCATAGTCTCTTGCCTCGTGCCCTCTTGCCATTTCTCAGCTATAAATAAATTTTATAGATCTCATTTCTCAGCTGAAAGTCAAATCTTATCCAGACTCTCTAGAAATGCCCCAGAATAGATAAATCGTCTTAGATTCTTATCCGTCAAGAGTTACTTGAAAAATTGTTCCGGCGTCGGATACAACGGGTTTTCCATAAGTCCAGAGTAATGTCTTAAGTTGGTATTGATAACTTTCTCTAAGTTCGATTTATACAGAGCGTTTGAGCCATGCTAAAATGGAAGAAGTAGACTGTCTTTGTTGCTCCGTAAGATGGAATTATCGTGGATAGATCTACACAGGTTGCTTCAAGAGAATTGTCAAACTTTATTGTAACTGCAGACCTGGTGTTCCTGGTTAGGTCACGATTTTGACCAAAACTCTACCAAGGAAGACAAAAATCCACTGGGATGTTTCGTTTTTCCACCAGGTTGTAAAATATTTTTTGTTACACGTAAAGCAACAAACTATTTGACTTCAGTTAAAATACACTTATATTTAACATAAGGCTTTTGATACTGCACGGGCACGAGGAACGTATAAGCGCTGTTGACTCCACGGTGCAAAATGTTCGCTCCGTGAACCAGTAGCTTAATGTGCAAAGGTTTTGTTCTACGCTGTTAGAATTTTCCCGGAAGGGCTTCTCGCTCGCAGAAACAAAATTAGGGAACCCGCAGATCTCTGTAGTCTTACGCTATAAGTATCCTGATTTACTGAAATTAAATCGGCATTTCGTGCTGTGGGAAGCGTCTGGGCCGACAAGGTGCGGTCGTTGCACGAAGCAAGGCCATCGCGTGACCACTTTTCCTAAAATTATGGACTTAAAAAAAGATGGAAAAAACATGTCGAAAATATCAAAATGGCTAAGTTTAAGACCCCTGGCATTACAGAATGAGATTTTATGACGTTTTGAATTTTTAAAACATTAAGAAGATTTGTATCGCTAAAAGTGACCATTTATCAGCCATTGCTGATCATGTGAAAACCACTGGTCACAACATAAAATGGGATCATTTTGACAATTTAGCGTCCGGCAAAACTGACTTTCATTACAAACTTAAAGAGACACTGTTCATTTAAGAACTAAAGCCTACCCTTAATGTCAATGTCAGTAGTAAGAAGTTGTTGCTTTATTAGCTGTTACTCCTCATGATGTCTAGACAGGTTAACGTACTGCTGCAGATCATTTTTCTCAGTCTAGGTTCCAGACCTCTCATTTTTACGATATATAGTTTTCAAAAAAATTGTTCACTAGCACACGAAACGTCAAGTTCTGTACTAGTATTAAAAAGCGTTGGAATACAATGTTTATCCCCGCTGTTTGTGTTATATTCTTAATCAAACGATGGCCTATAACTGGAGTTTATACGATACTGTATGGAAAAAGTTGCTGGAGAGCAAGACCTTGCTCTCTAGCAATATTTCCCAGAGATATCCTCTAAATTTTCCGAAAATTGAAACTTAGGCCCAGTTCAGACGTCGTGCTCCTGCCGTGCCGAACTAAATTCAGGAATTAAGTTCGAGAAAAGCACGGCAGAAGCACGGTGTCTGAATCAAACTTTTGAATTAAGTTCGGCAAGCTCTGCCGTGCTACACGACTAGCGATTCAAACGTCGTGCTTCTGTCGCGCCAAACTAAATTCTTAAATTATGTTAATGTGTTTTGGCGAGATAGCGTTCCCTCGGAGAGTTAGGAGGAGAATTGTTACGAGGCTTCAGTAAACCCTGGAGTTGATTCAACTCTGGCACGACGTCTGAATCAGAGTTGATTTCCTGCCGTGCTACAGTCGAACCACGTTGCAATTTACCGTGGGCCTCAAACTTCATTTTGTCACGTGACTGCAAAGGGCTTATCAGAGCGTAGAAGGTGCCACTGAAAGGTTTGTTGTCTATTCGCACGGGAAACATCCCATGTGGTGAGAGTGTTTCAGATTCTGGAAAAAAAAGGCCGAAGCACATTTGCAAGGTAATTTTTAATTATGTTTTTAAAACTTTTTTCGTTAATAGAAGCTTGTATAATATAGGAAACTACAAAGCGTCTGTACGTTTAGACCTAACGAAGCACCTCCAACCATAGTTAGTGGAGTCCCCTCCATTAACTATGCTCCAACAAGTAAGCTTAAGATCAGCGTGGACTTGTTCCTCTGCGATAACAAAAAATCAAATCGAATAAACTGAACATGTAAGCTTAACTTCATTGCTATGAACTTAGCCTGCTCTGCTGTGCAGCGATCAAATATCGTGTGCAAGTTTGATTTTTCGTTAGCTGAACTGAAATAAGCTGTAAGCTGTACACGTAAGTTTAAAAAAGCGTAAACTTAAGCTTAAATACCTTATAATTGTTAGAGCAAAACGAACGATACTGCACAACGGATCACTGTTAAAATTTTCAAAAGACAAGTCGCTGTTTTGGTTATATGGTTAAGTTTTATAGTGTTAATGTTTAAGAAATTCCACCAACATTTCGAATATGTTCTGGTAAGTTCTTATTGTTTGCAAGTCTCCACGCTGTTTGCATTCGTTTAGCAAGATCACTGTTAAAATTGTCAAAACACAAGTCACTTTTAGTTGTATGGTTACGTTTAGTATTAATGTTTAAGAAATTCCACCAACATTTCGAATATGTTCTGGTAAGTTATTACATGTATGTTTGTATGAGTCCACGCTGTTTACCGTAGCAAATTTGTCTTCAATTTTTTTAAAGCGGTCAATATCACGTCTGCTGCTCGCTGTCGTTAACCGAGTCGCCACAAGTAGTGGCAAATAGAAGGAAAAAGAGAAACAAAACAAAACAGTTCAACTGACTTTCAGAATTTCTTCTCGTAGGTTATGCTTAAGTCTTATATTGTTCGTGGAGATCAAATCGAGCCATTGTCAGCTATTGGGTTTTTGTCATATTTGTCATTTTTCCTAAACTACGCTCGCTTTAAGTCAGTTCGCTCAAACCAAAGATCGCTCCACACAGGCTGAGTCCGCTACCTCAGCTTACCGAGTTTGGTTTGGCAGTGGGTGAAAGAACGACGAATAATAAACACGCGCGTTGGAGCGAACTGACTTAAAGCGATCTAACCATAGAGCGAAGTGATCGGATACCTTCCCTACACAGTCGATTTGAATTCAGTCTTCTTACTTTACTCGCTATAATTTCTACGCGTAGGTGCATTAAGTTAAAGGGAAGTACGTGCAAGGATTCAGATTCTGTTGCTTAGTACTGAATAGAAAAGCAGTTACTCTGTTGTTGAAAGAACTACATATAGTTTAGTGTTGAAAATCATATCAATGGTTGAATACTTACATGTACATGGAATGTTGTCTCATAATT